TATTAATTAAAATAATAATCAAATATATTTTATACAAAATATATATTTTTTGAATAAACATAATTTATGGCAGAGAATAGAGAATTAGAGTATGGCATTACTATAATTAAATTTTAATTATTGTTAAAATATTAAATATACCTAACAAATGTTTCATAAAATTTAATACTATACAATATATTTTTAAAAAAATTAAAAAATCAAAAAAAATCTATAAATACAACTACCAAATATAATTATACTCCAACAGTCACCGAGGCTAATTAATTAATAAAATAATTTCATTAATTGTACTTGTATATACTATTGAAAATACACAAAACTCTTTAAATAAATTATATGTATCTCCCTTCTTCGGATTCCCGGAGATATACCACTGATTTTGGTTTTTGGAACTGCGCGTGATTTACGTGCAGATGCCACTCGCGTGGCTCTAAAATTCTCCTACTTTCGCAAAAATAGTCTTTCACAGCTTTCAATTCTGCTGCGTCCAAAGTTAGTTCTCCCTTGCTCACACTTCTTTCACTTCCAAGCAGCTCATTTCACTCTCTTGCTCTAGAACATTCTTTCTCTATCTCTCTGCACCCAAATAAGAAATGGGTGAAGGAAAAGGCTCCACCTTGGTACACCTTCTTGTGGTTGTTCTTAGCCTGGTGGCCTTTGGGTTCGCCATTGCTGCTGAGAGAAGAAGAAGCATTGTAAGCCCATTTTCACAAATCTTTATCTCTGCTTCAAGACGGTAACTTTAGGGTCTTAGTATTTCCTATTTCTAAATTTTTCTGTCTTTTATCTTTGTTATAAAAAAATATTCCAGTACTTTTCCGAGCAGACTAGTACTTCATCACTTGGATGTTCTGATGTTCACTTTGTGCCCATCCTTGAATTTTGAGGAAATTGTGGGTCTGCTATAGGAAGTGTGAAGAGATCTGTGTTTAAGGGTGAAATGGGTGTGTGTATGTAATGGGTTTTGGATCGACGGTTTGTTTTGAGTTAAGTCTTTTGTGTGCAAAAAAGTAGTCGGAAGAAGTGCTAAGGTGAGCAGCTAAAACAGGTTCCATTGTTGTTCCTTAGTCAAAGAAAAGCTTTTATGTGGCTAACTCGGATTATATTCACAATCGAAGGCAATTGGTTCATTTTGCATTTAAGGTCAGGAGAAGCTCTAGTTGTTAGATGAGTTCTGTGTTATTTAGCTGATCACATAATATTTTAGAATTCCCCTAGTTGATTCGGAATATCAGATAATTTTTGTTGATTTGTCAGTATATACCTTGCAAATGGTGTTTTACTTTCTGGAATCCTAACCATTAGATGGCAGTTGACTTGAGCCTAATGAAAGAGACTCACAAGATGTCGCCTATATTAATAGTGTTACTTGTTCTGTCATTTAGAGTTTTGTTTCCATGAAAATGGTAGTTAAATTGGAAGCTGCCTATCTGTTGCTATCATATAAGACAACTTTGGGGCCTTACAATTGGGTTGAGTTTTTGATTCTTTTGTCTGCCAGAGTAGATTTATTCGTTTATTGAATCATTTTATTGAAAATGATATTTAATAGAATCATTAGATTAGTACTCTTGAAATGTAAATGAAATTTTTCATAAGATCTGAACTTTATTCTGCTTTACATTTCTGAACATATTAGCCTTTTTCTTTTGTTTAGGATATACATATATTACCCAAAATGTGACTATTCTTCTCATAAGAAGGTCCTATCATTTCTGGAGATGAGGAAAAAGAGTAAATCAAATATTTTTCTAAACTATGGCTCTAGACAAAATTTCCTCCAATGCTTGACAATACTAACCACAGAACCAATGAACCTTTTCAACAAGGAGGAATGCAAAAGAAATCACCTTATTTATTCGTAATCTCATGTTATGTACGCTCCATTTGTTTAAAGATAGAATTCAATAGAATCCTATACACATTTCTTGCTTAGCCTACTCAGTTCCATTACATGGACCATTAACTTGTTGACACAAGCTCTACAAAATATCTAAAGATGATTGATGAAGCAGCATTTATAATTATATGTATACCTGAATCTTCATTATCCTGGATTATGTGATTTGAGTTTAACATACATGGTAGTTAACGAATTTGCCAGCAACTCTCTTGATTAATCCATTGCTGGATCTTGACATTGTTTTTATAAGTTCTACCTGAGCATTTTATACAATTGGATGTATCCACGCTTGCTGCGTTCTGATGGATTGATAGGTTACAACCACTATAAACTTACTTTCTCAATTCGAGATCTTTGGAGAACATGTTCTCTGCAGTCTGTCATCTGAACATAAACTTCTGTTTATGCATGGTTGATTTTTTAATTTGACATATAGTACGATATGGAGTTTATTAGGAACTTCTGTGCTCCTTATGTATGGTGGATTAATTGCCAATTTGGCTGTTCTTCTGCATTTCAGGGCACTATTGTGAAAGTTGATTCATCAAATGCTACATACTGTGTTTACAACTCTGATGTTGCCACTGGCTACGGAGTGGGTGCTTTCTTATTTCTTCTTTCAAGTGAATCACTACTTATGGGTGTCACTAAGTGCATGTGTTTTGGGAGACCTTTAGCACCGGGTGGGAATCGAGCTTGGTCAATCATCTATTTTGTTTCATCATGGTGAGATTTTTAATTAGGTTGACACACAAGATATGCCATCTGTTCCTTGCATGTGAATAATCAAAAGAAGTGCCTCAATTCTAAACACCCATTCCAAACCTCCATCATCGATATTTCGTTTAGGATTTTTACCATGCTCACATGCTATACTATTTGCTAATTTGATTTATGTCTGATTCTCTCTGTTGCTGACTTCCTCTACTTGTTTGTGGCATGTATGTTCTTTTTAAAACCAAAATTAGTCATTCATATTAAAGGGACTTGTTTGCGTAATAAATAGAAGATATAAAATTTCTATGCATTTGCATCCACAGGGTGACCTTTTTGATAGCAGAAGCATGTCTAGTGGCAGGTGCAACTAAGAATGCTTATCACACCAAGTATCGGGGAATGATTTATGCTCAGAATTTCTCTTGTGAAACTTTGAGGAAAGGCGTTTTTATTGCAGGAGCAGTGTTTGTTGTTGCAACAATGATCCTCAATGTGTACTATTACATGTATTTCACCAAGGCCACAGCCATACAATCTGCTCACAAAACAAACCGTGCGAGCTCAACTGTTGGGATGGCTGGGTATGCATAGATCCAACTTATGAGCATAGGTTTACAAGTTTTGCTTCTCGATGTCACGAGTCTGATTGCAAATGTACCATGAAACTGTTCTACTGCAGAACTGTATTGTGCTTATCTAGTTATATATAATAATGTTAGGACTAACGAGTGTTGAACCTGTTGGCATTAATTATAAATGCTGAATGAGAAATATAAACTTTGAAAATGTTATACCTAACAAGAACAGCAGAAGTTTTGCTTTAATAAATAGTTTGTCACTTAAGTTAGTTTTCGTCCATTTGAAGACTAAATTTTTTCTAGATGAGGTTAAGAATGTATTTTTCAGATTAGTAGATACATCCAAATAAATTTATTGGTTAGATACTAACTTTAAAACTTAAATTTTTAATTCAACTAACATGAAAGCACTTACCAAGAAAACTTGCTATGAATCTAACCTTGGAGTTATGAAAAATTAGTATATAAAATAGAATGACTAATCTCCATATTTTTTTCTCCTTTTCTGCCATTGCTATTTAGTGTGGTTTCATTATTGCCCCCCGTTCAAATCTGGACACGACAATATGGGACTGGGCTATAGGCCGGCCGACTAAGCCTGTCCTGTTTCTTGTTTTTCTCCCACGTGATTGCCTTTTGCAATCGCTTTTTTGACTTGCTGGATCAACGACCCATATCTTAAAACTTTTCGGCCTCCAGACCATGGAAAATGTCACAGGTAAACTCCAGAGACTAGTTGCATTTTGTAGTTATCCTCCATACCCCAACTTCCCTAATTGCAAATGAAAAAAATTAGAGGAATGAAGAATTAAACAGAATGTTTACACCTAATTTTGTAATAAATAAAATGGTATCATATGTCATCTATGTTGGAAGGAATTTTGTTTGTTGAAAAGTTCTTGATATAGATATCTTCGGATAAGATTTAGTGGTTATTTCCACAATATTATCAAAGTCGTTCGCTTGTTGTGAACTTCCAAGAGTATAATCAGCAGTACCAATGAATTAATTGATTTGTTCCAAATTTCATACTATCGTTGGTTTTCAAGATACTGTCATAAATCTCCAAACATGTTGCCAAGGGGTGTTTACTGCTTTAAATACATAGAAAAGAAACGAATCAAGACAGAATGGCCTCTCACACAACAAGCTTAGTATAATTTCTTTTAATGCATAGATTCATCTTAGTTTCAAGCTCTTTAGTTTAGTTTTAACATTACGCTTTAACTTAAATTTGTCTTCAACTTTATTAGTCTTCAACTTTATCAGTCTTCAACTTTAGTCTAATGTCTTTTTTCTTTAGGAATCCCAAAAATTAGTTGCAATTTTCTGAAAAAGCAATTCAGTTCTCCTTTTGTTGGTTTTGTAATGGTAAAATTCGTTGCCTTTAATGATATTTCTTTGGAGTCAGATTGCTTCCTTTCCTTTATTGTTTTCCTAGTTTTTTTTAATTTAATTAAGTGATGTCAATATTTAATTTCATGTTCTATTTTGTTTTTCTTTACTTATTGTTGATAGATGTTTTTATAAAAGGTCAAACTTGAACTTAGGTAGTTTCTATGTCACCAAGACCCGCCTTAATCTAAGTGTCTATTAATGCCTTCAACGTGCATTTATCAAAAGGCCCAATAATATCTGATGTTGTAACACATGGCTAGGCCTAACAATATCTAATGCTGCAGTACATGGCTGCATCGCCAGAAATACATAAGGAAGTTTCTTTCATTTATTATTTCCTTATTTATTAAATTTAATTATTTTCATCAACTGATCACTACTCATTTATGCAGGTCATCAATAAATCCATGAATCCAAGCTCATGGGGATATTCAGGACAAACCATGGGAGTAGTGGCTTAGCAGGCGTGGATGGGTGAACGTTGCCTATCTGGCAAAGCGAGGTATTCGCGCTAGGGAAGCTTGGCGCTGGCAATGTTGATTGACTTCACCAGAAAAGGTTGGGTGGCAAAGACATGGAGGCAGGCTTGATCCCCAAAACAATATTGTTTGATGCTAACTAAAAGCTTAAAATCCTATTCAAAACCAACCAGAGATGTTGTTTTGGTCACCATCAACAACTTGCAGCCATATTTAATGTAAAGGTGGTTGCACAATGCTGAAAACTGCTGAAAAGGGTGGCTGCACAAGTTCTTTGACCTTGGAAACTATTGAAAAAGATCTGATTTCGCTGGGAAAATCTACCAAAATCTTAGGCAAATCTTTGGAATCTTCCAATATCCTGGGCAACCCTTGGGAATTTACCAAAATTTTGGTCAGATTTGATTTTTTTGGCTACAATAAATTATCCCCCTAAAAATGGTATTTCGTATGGCTGGAGGAATTCCTAAAAATAGACAGTTTTCCATCCATCACTGGAACTAGTGAAGTTTCGCTAGAACCATTAAGTAATTCATAATATCACTGTCAAAAGGTTGCTAGTAGTCCCAGAGCCATTAAAGGTTTGACAGCTCACCCAAACCCATTTGAACACCTTTGACCCACTAATCCAAAAATTACAAAAATACCACTACACATATATATTATTTTCCCTTCATTTTTCAACAAATTTGAACATTTTTCATAGCTCTAACTGTCTTCCTCATGTACCAAAACTCCCATTTTTCCTCTGAAAAATCCTTCATCTTCAACCTCTCCCCAAATACACCAAAATAACCTAGAAATCACCATTTTTCTTTGATTTTCTACATTTCCAGCACTACAGAATATTTTCTAAACTTGTAGAACATCATGGCTGGGAGACTGCATGTTGCAACTTCAATTTTTGGGTTATTTTCTTGAGCATTAGAGGATCAAGCTGAAGAGTTAGCATCAAAAACAGGATCAAGCCTTCCATTCGCAAGGCCCCACAATGGTCATCCTTCCTTCTCCCATCACTACTTTCAAGTTTATTCCTTTTGTCTTGTTAAAGCTCGAAGGAAACCATTGTGCCTTTTATCTACAATATGAGGGTTGCTTATTATTGAGTAAAAGTATTTGTTAAGGATAATAGAGGGCACATTCATTGTCTTTGCTATTATGCTACAAGATACTATATAAAAATGTGCTTCTCAAGTTGTAATTTTTAGTCTGATAAGCTAAGTTTATATATATATGTTAATATAAAGTTGTTGCCTTGATATTGTTGATATTTGGATGAATGTTATGTGATTTTATTTGATTTTACATAATTTTTATTCTTTGTGTAGGAAAAGACTTAATTGGAAGAAATCATAAGTTTTAGGAGTAAATTGTAGAGATCAGAAACTTGAGGATCAACTTGTGCAGAATCTAGAAGTCAAGTGTCGGCACTTTGTTGAAAGTGTTCATCCCTTAGGTGATTTTCACCAAATCCGTGTTTAATTAGGTATTATGGATGTGGGTCCCACTTCTATTATAATTAGGGTTTCCAAAATCCTATAAATACCCATCCAAATTTAGAATAAGGGAGCTTGGTGGAGGCTAGTGGCAGCCCTCTTTTGGGTACTTTTGGAGGTCAAGATAGAGAATCCATTAACAAGAGATCAAGGAGTTTAATTATCTCCAATTAGGTTTTATTTTTCCTTAGATATTCTTATGTTCATAATTGTGATTTCAGATTTTATTATTTTTATTATGAACTAATTTATTCTAGGGCTAAATGTAGCCTAATCAATTCAATATAGATTTTGTGATTTTATAATTTCAATTAAAATTATTCGCATGAGGAGTTTATATTATTGAACTTAATGCATTGGAAGTCTGATCATTTTTCAATTGATTTAGTGATTTATACATAGACTTAAGAATGAATTGCATAGATTAGACCAATAATAATATAAACTGTGTGTTAGACTATGAGACCAAGAGGTAATTAGCTCACATGTGGTAGTAGAGGAAGAGAAGAGAGTTAGGAGCTCCCCCTTCTTAAGCTAGAGGTTTCCATAGAATTTAATACTCATTAGTTTGTTTAAAATTACATAGGGATATAATTAATTTAACAAACCAGTGAAGGATTAACTTGACTTGAAAAAGCTAATTAATTAATTTAGGGAAATCTGCCATCACATACAATAACACTCAACAAATTAGCATATTAATCCAAAATTTATATTGATTGATTATGGTGAAATCAATGCATTAGTACCTCCTATCTTGGTTAAGTTTTTTTGTTATTTTCTTATTTTTAATTAAAGTTTATTCTTATTTGATTATTCAAATAAATTTAGATTAATTATTTTGGTACTTAATTAGACACAATCCTCGTGGGTTCGACACTCTCTCATCATTATATTACTTGGAGTGACTAGTCCACTTGTTAGGATGATTTTAGTGCATCATAGCCCTTACATATTTTCTATCTTTGTTGCTCCTACAGCGTTGTACATTTCATTTTCATTATTTTTGGTATTTGTGTAATCATTCTTGTTATCTTGGGAGCATCATCATCACCCCACTCTTTCTGGCTTGCCGAGGACACTTTATTTCCGAACTTCACTGGAGAAACTTTACTCCCAATCTTCATTAGAGAAACTCTATTTTTGAACTTTGTTGGAGAAACTCTACTTCTAGACTTCGCTAGGAGATTTGCTGCTAATCAACATCATTGGACATTTTGGAACTCTATTGTCACTGCCAGCTCTCCCTCTCGACTTGGTTGGAAAGCTTACACCTTTAGACTTTGTTGGGGAATTTGTTGCTGACCAACATCGTTAGGCAGAACAAGACGGCCTATGGCATGTAGCCTCTTGCATGTGAAACGGGTGTTGCCAAAAGGACCATCCTCATCACTCACGGGTGGCATCCTAGTCAACCTCCACATCATCACCGTTGCTAACTCATCAACCTACATCACCAGCACACCCCAACACTTATAGTCCATGCTGCCAATAAAATTATATTTTTCCAATTTCATTTACTTTAACTCAATTTATTTTTCTCCATTTACATTTCCTTTTTAGAGCTCTATTTTAACTCAACTTGCATATTTACAATTCATTTAGATTTTCAGGAGTTTGGCGATCATTTACTTTTCTTGTAGTCTTAACTTTTTTCAATTACATTAGTTTAGAGAAGTTCTTGGAGTCATATCCAAGGAATTTTGTTGTATAACCCATTTAGTGCAGGAAGTTCACCCTCGTTTCTACCAATCGTGTAATTATTAAGGCACACTGTACAACATTCTTCCATCGACTCTCAACTAAGTTCCACGCTTGAAAAGAAGAGAGGGTTGTCAGA